TTCGGTGCACAAGGGTCCGTTCGTTCGATGTCAGTGGGTCGATCGAGGGTGGAGGAAACATTGATCCCTGGAGGATCTTGGTCTGCGGTGGAAACACCCAAGATACTGTTATTCCTGTTGTCGTCCCGTATCATATCCTGCGCAAACTCCTGCGCAAACTCCTCCACGACAATCTGCCAATAGTCGTCTTTGACGCTTTTCCATTCGGTCGCTTCACATTCGTTGAGCACTTCTAGATGTAGCTCGATAATCGTGCGCGTATGCACGCGTGGTGGGCGTCGGCGTCGTGCGCCGGGCAATCTGCCGGGCTGCCTATCCCGAACCATGGTGTACCAGTAAGCGGGTGGCGGTAGTTCGCCGCGTTGTAGATGCTGCAATATTTCTTCGTCGAGTGGCGGTGACGGCACGTCACGCACGGTGCGAAACGTTCGTCGTCGTTTGGCGAGGAAGGCAAAGTACTACAACAAAAGAAAAAGAAAAAGAAAAAAGGCGGATGAGCAGGAGTGCAGTTGTGTTGGAATGGTGACACAAAACACCCCTTTAGGAACACATTGTTCTATTGTGCATATCACGGATACGAATGCACGGGGTCTCGTCTCTTATGCGCGTTGTGTTTGCTGACCTTGCCAAGGAAAAAGAGCAGGATAAGGGAAGTGACAAATGCAAAGAAGATAAGAACAGGCGAAGAAAGGAAGATGTCCTTTGCAGTGAAGATGGGGGGGATGGTGGAATCTCCAAGTTCCCCTCCATATGTTCCACCGCCCTTCTGCTGTGATACATATGTTCCATAGGATCCATGCAGATTACCATGTCCTGGTAGAAGTGCAGGATCCAATCCGAAACCGCGTTTCCCATCTCCTGTATTTGCAGTACCAGCACTGGTAGAATCGGGTCCCGAGAAACCTGTGTTTTGGACCCCTGTGGAGCCACTACCACAGGAACCTGGATTCACAGTCCCCGTTGAACCTGGTCCTGAGGAATCAGGGTGGTGGTTACCAGTACAACCCTCTGTGTCTGTGGAACCAAACATGGCACCCCCCCATTGTTCACCACTACCAGGGCCCTGACCAATTCGCTTTCCTTCGCCACCAGAAACACCATCCGGTTGTGGTACGGGTGCTGCAGCTGGTGTGGTGTCTGCTGTCCCCGCTGATGCTGGTTGCGACGCGCGTGGCGGTGTTTGTGATGCGTCTGGGGGTGGTTGCGGTGAACCCTGTATGGTTGCATCATCCGCTTTCTTCTCACCTGAGCATAAAGAAACAAGAATGCAAGTGAAGGTACAGGAACGGAGGTCCGCATGGTCATGGTGGGCCACCGCGCGGGTGACGAGACAGGGACGGTGCGCAGAGAACGGGGCAGCAGACGGGCAGGAGGGACGGGGGGCACGGCCAGGCGTCGGGGAGACGGCGATGGGGTAGCGTGCCACCCCGGGAAAGGACTCTCTCTCTGTCACAACAAACACACAACACACACAACACACGCAGTGTGTGTGTGTGTCTGTGTCTGTCCGTCGACGTCTACGTCGACGTGTACATCCCGCGGCCGACCCATCGCTGTTGGTCTGCCGGTCATTCTCATACGACGTTTGGTTTCTGTCTCGCCCTCTGTCCGTGTTGTCTCTCCCGCTCTCTCCGAAAATGTTTTTTTTTTTTTTTTTTTTTTGTGCTTCTAATGTTACTTTGGGTGTGTATGTTCACTATGGTGCATATGACTTGTTACCTGGTGTTGGACCTGGGGGATCTGGAGGTACACTGTCTGGAAGTCCTAAATCCTGGTCTGAGGTACACCCAAGGCTTAGGCTAATACAGGATCCGTTCGTATTCGTACTGGTGGAACTCTTTGTACACGTACCTGCTGTTTCCGCGTCTTTCCCCTTTTGTGTGCCCGCAGAAGCAGTCCGCGGGGGTGGTGGAGGTGGGGGTTGTTGTCCAGGTCCTGGTCCTTGACCCGGTCCTTGCCCTCCGTCTGTGCCTCCGGCCGGTGCCGCTGATGGTGCCTGTGGTAATACTGGAGATGCCGGTGCTTGTGGTTTCGTTGCCGCCGGCTTTGCCGCGGCACCTACAAAAACGAGGACGGAAGAATGATGGATGAACAAACGATAAAAAAGGGACACAAGTGGTACAGAAAGAAGGGGCCGGGACGGTGCGGTCATGTAGCGGCAGGGTAGGGTCCGGCTGGATGCAGTGTGTCGATGCATGGGTCGATCCATGGATCGAGGTGAATTCGGTGAACTTGGGCTAGATGGTAGCAATACAACTTTTATTTGTCGTCGTCATCTCCTCTCCGCTATTGGTGCCGTCGTGCCCGCGCCGCCCAACGTGAACGAAGCCGTGTGCAGTGCTGTCACCGCGTGCATGTTGTTGTGGCGGCATCCACATTCGGCAGTATCGAGCCCTGTTCGTGTGCGGGGTGTATGGGTGCTTGGGCTCATCGGTCAGTACCTGCCGCTACGTTTGGTGCTGGTTTATCGCTCGCTACAGATTTGGTTGCCTTTCCCTCACTGTCATCACCCTCTCGATTTCTACCTGTGACAGCCTCGATAGACGTCATGCATGCGCCATTGTCCTCCGCGCATTGCATTACCCCCGTCTTTACCTCCTCAACTATGGTCTTCATTCCTCGGCCTAACTCACGTATAGCGTCTTTCTCGTGTTGCGTCAGTTCTGTGTTGTCATCCGTGGCATTTGCATGCGGCGTGGCCCCGTCAAGTTCTTCTGGTTTTTTGCTACATGTGCTTTGTATTGCGGGACTTGCAAATCTGTCAGTCAAGCTCTCCTTGCTCTCTAACCATTTCTTAATCATTTTCTCCATTTGTAATTCCCCGATTTTTATGTCTTCAAACACTCCCTGCCCACATTTATTTTTGTTTATTAAACCACTCCCTAGCCCTGGCTCCATGTCTTTCACAATGTGCCATGCATAATCTATTCCCATTTGACTTCTGCATTTAGATGCCAGCAATATGTACATAAATACATTTACTATTGCGCATCTTATATGTTCCTTCAACGCTGCATTATTAGGGTCGGTAGTGTGCGAACCGCCGGACTGCGTACCCCACCCATTCATGAAATATAATGCTCCTGTCATGAGTGTGCACATTAGTCTATCCGCGACTTTCTTTGCCATAAGTATGCCTTGTTTGCTCTCACTCCAATAACCCGCGTTCAAACAATTAGCTGCATACTGGTCTAGGTTCTCGTCGTCCAAATGTTCCACAAATTCGTCTAGTAGCACTGTTATATCTTTCCATAGGGTACTCTGCATTGTGCACAAGGAACATATATGTGTGTGCATAATTGGCCACTGCACCCCTCACGTCCATGTGCAATAATATGTGCCCATACTGTGGCACGTGCTGCACGTAATGTATCTTCCAATTGTAGTATTAATATAGAATTAGTGCACGGTCGCATGCGTACAATGATATATAGCGGCATGGATACATACTATCATATATAGAGGCTGTTATAAGTACACGACGCCGCCCGTGTGATTGTGAGTAAATTACCTTATACTTCTCCTTGTTATCAACTAGACCCCTTGTCAGCACATAATGTGCTAATAAATGTCCCAACGGCGCATACGACATGTTGTCCTTATCATGAATTAATAGTTTGCAACGGATGCAAGCATGATCTCTCAGATAACGGCTTGAGTATAATATCGGCACAATATTCTCTTATGTATTATTCAGATTCTTCGAGAATGGAACATGTCTTGCAGTATAGGGTGCCTGCAGCAACATCTCACATGAACAAACTCTCCTCTATCTGAATGTAATCACACACCCCATAAATCGTGGGGTGTGGAAG